AATTATTTCTATCAGATATCAGAAATATCTCAATTGAGATCTTACATGCGAATTTTTGCAGAAACCACATTTGAGAATTCAATTGAGAATTCAACTGAGAATTGAATTGGGAATTCTATTGTTATCTTAACAGAAATTTTTCAGTAGGGGATATATTAAAGAAATAAATACATCTTAATCTAAATGTAAGAAATAAATACATCTTAATCTAAATGCTTCAGTCGTTAACATACAAGTTTATTAAAATATAAAATATTTTCAGAGTTAAGGAATTATGGAAATAAATGAGAAAGGAATGTTTCAACAGTGTCAATTTGGTATGTACCAGGTATGTAAATATGAAACCGGAATTTTTGTAAAGAAAATACACGTTTATTGTATGAAAATGATAAAAAATATTTTATTCGAAGTATTGCCCATCGCTAGCTATACATTTTTCCCACCTGACAATTTGTGCCACGCCAAAAAAACTGTTGCTCTTTTGAGGCATATCAGTCATCGAGCCATTTTCGTACATTTTCGTAAGAAGTGAAGCGCTGCTTAGCAAGTGTGTGTTCCATCGATGCAAATAAATAGTAATCGGACGGAGCTAAGTCTGGTGAGTAAGCCGCATGCGAAAGTATTTCCCGACTAAACGCCTCAATCGTTTCCTTGACCAGTTTTGCTGTGTGTGATGGTGCATTATCATGAAGCAAAATCACTTTGTGTTGCCTTTTTTTATATTCTGGTCGTTTTTCACGCAAAGCTTGATTCAAATCGATCATTTGTTGTCGGTAGCGTTCAGTATTAATGGTTTGGCCAGGTTTTAGCAGCTCATAATAGATCACACCCTTCTGATCCCACCAAACACAGAGCATTGTCTTCCGTCCATAGTGATTTGGCCTTGCAGTCAATGTCGATGGTTCGCCTGGAGTTACCCATGATCTTTTACGCTTAGAATTCTCAAAATATATCCACTTTTCATCGCTAGTCACAATTCGATGGAGAAATTACTTTCTTTTGTACCTGGCGAGCAGCATTTCGCAAGTGGTTTTTCGGTTTTTCTGCTGTTTTTCATTCAGTTCATGTGGAACCTATTTTCCCATCTTTTGGATCTTTCCCCATGGCTTTCAAACGTATGGAGACGGCTTCTCATGTCGCATTTAATTGATCCGCGAGTTGTTGTTGCGTTTGAGTGTCCTCATCCAACAATGCTTGCAATTCGCTGTCTTCAAACTTTTTCGGTGGTCTTCCACGTTCTTCGTTTCTCACGTCAAAATCGCCACTTTTGAATTTTTTTAAACCACTCAAAGCACTGTGATTACCACTGTGATTTACCAAGAGCATGCTCACCGTAAGCTTCGACAAGCATTCGTTGCGATTCTACAGCAGTTTTTTTCAAATAGTAACAGAAAATCAATGCTGTGCGCAAATCGTAGTTTCCAGGCACAAAATTCGACAT